CCCTTCCAACCCTGATATTCTATGATTCTATGATTTGCTAAAGCACCAGATACAATGGTTTTGCCTACATATATTCCTGACACCTGCTATTCCCTGAGCTAATGGGGACCTCAATTTTCATATAATTTGCATGATGTAGACAATGAGAGAACACTGTTGTACCCCAGTTCTTTCCCCTCCCATAACCCATTGGTTGCATAAGCTCAAGAGGCAGGAAGTAGTGTGCAACACTGTACATCCCATTTATGGTTATCTAGCACAAACATACACAATTACTTTAATAAATCAATTTTACTGACTTACGAGAGCAGTTCCTTACTCTGTAAACATTAGAATACGCTTTTCAGTATGCAGCCACATATCTGAAGCTTCAGTCTGCTGGCAGCAGCTAGTAATTGTAGTTGTGGCCATGCTTGCCTGGGAGTCAGTATTCAGTTTCTCAAAGTTATTAATTCGCTGACTTTTTAACCAGTCCAGAGACTGGTATCCAGTTGATCAAGAGATCTCTCAGTACATCAGGCAGAGCCCATCTTTCTGAACCTTGACTGAAGCTGCTATTTTATGGTCTGAAACTGGTCTCTATAAGTAGAGTGAGCATTCATTCCTCAAAATTGTTTACTGAGTCACAAGAATTATAATGTCACTATACTTCAAAGGAATCTGACAGAAATCCACACTGGTAGATGTGCTATATGCCATCATGTGCCAGCAATGCCCCTCTGCCATGTACATTGGCCAAACCGGACAGTCTCTACGCAAAAGAATTAATGGACACAAATCTGACATCAGGAATCATAATACTCAAAAACCGTTGGGAGAACACTTTAACCTGTCTGGCCATTCAATGACAGACCTGCGGGTGGCTATCTTACAACAGAAAAACTTCAAAAACAGACTCCAACGAGAGACTGCTGAGCTGGAATTGATATGCAAACTAGATACAATCAACTCAGGATTGAATAAGGACTGGGAATGGCTGAGCCAATACAAACATTGAATCTAGCTCCCCTTGTAAGTATTCTCACACTTCTTATCAAACTGTCTGTACTGGGCTAGCTTGATTATCACTTCAAAAGTTTTTTTCTCTTACTTAATTGGCCTCTCAGAGTTGGTAAGACAACTCCCACCTGTTCATGCTCTCTGTATGTGTGTATATATATATATCTCCTCAATATATGTTCCACTCTATATGCATCCGAAGAACTGGGCTGTAGCCCACGAAAGCTTTATGCTCTAATAAATTTGTTAGTCTCTAAGGTGCCACAAGTACTCCTGTTCTTTTTGTGGTAGTTAAGTTTTTTTCTTGAAACTACAACTGTATGTAACAAAATTAATGCGAAGTTTAAATACTCTGTTTACTTTCTTATCTCAAATTAAGATATATTTAATTGCAACTGTATTTAGTTTTTCTGATTTTAGACACACTGTTATTTTTCCAATCAAACAGAATACATCTTCAGTCACATTTTTATTTTTGCAAAGCATACAATATCTCAAAAATGAAATCATTCAGAAAGATACAGGTTGATAAATAATTGCTGCTGTTTTACCACCACAAAATAGCCGAACTTGGACTTCCTTTCTAAATTGATTTGTACCATCGCTCCAGCAATGCTAAGCAGTTGAATCCAGTCTGTTTTCACATATATCGGTTTCTAATGTACTCTCTGTACATGAGGATGTCTTCTTTTACCAGTGGCTGCATGGTGCCTCTGCCAGCCTGAATGTGAGCATGGAAGATATCAATTGATTTCTTATCTACTTTAGGAGGCTGGACTTCATAAATGTTGTCTTGGGAAAAAGAGGAGATGTGTATTCTGTAAAAGTCAAAACCAAACAGTCCTTTAGCATTAGGTCTAAAATCAGCAACATTACACATCAATTGCAGTGTAGCACCTCAATTAATTTTGTTTACAATACATATTAAGTGAACAAATTCTGAAAGAGAATGCACTGTATATCATTTTCATATTGTATCTAAAACTCCAGTAGCATTAATAACCAACCTTAGTTATTATAAGAACTATTACTCACAAATAATAAACTGTATGTTTATTTTCAGCAGCAATATTTAAATATTAAATACTTTAATATTAAAACAAAGTACCACAGTTGCTCAGTAAAGAGAAGCAAGTTAAACTGTATGCTGTCAAAAGGTGAGATTTTGGGTTTGGATTTAGTAACAGATTAATCAGTGGTTAACATGTTGTCATCAAAAGGTACAGTACAATCACCACCTATACATTAACTGTTTTGTGTGAATGCAACTTGATTTACTAGAAGCCACAATTTAAGATCAAGTTTAAGGAAAAACTGTCTGATGGAACTATAGGGCATGTCGACCCTTCAAGCTGAATTCATACCCAGGCTAGCTGTAATCAAGCTAGCAGACGTGCTGAAAATAGAATGTAGCCACCGTGGCGCAAGTGGCAGGACAGGCTAGCCACCCTGAGTATGTGCCTGCAGTCTCTAATAGGCATGTATTCAGGACAGCTAGCCCCTCCTGCAGCTCTCGTTGCCATGGCTACACTCTATTTTTAGGTCGCTAGCTCGAGTAGCGCTAGTGCAAGTATGTCTCCTCAAGTTGGGAATCACACCCTGGAAGTGTATACAGACCTTATGAGTTGTCTAGAACATTTGAAAAAAATCCTCCTGTAACTGCTAATCAGGAACAAGAAAATACTTCCCAGTAATCAGAAATCTGGCACATAAGTTTCAAGGGGATTGTTCCAATTCTCTAAAGCATCAGCTTCATATGTTCTGGCTCACACCTTCTGGATGTCTGTTAAAAACTGACTGCTGAAATATCTGCTTTATAAAGAACTTTAAAAATAAACTCAGGACCATTATTCATTGGAACACTGTGATTTTAAGTTTGGACAAGAACGTCTCCATCTCCACACGTACTAAATAGGCTTCTGTCAGTTTAGCAGCTGCAGATAAGTTTATATTATTATTAATATATTTATTGTTTATATTGTGGTAGCACCGAGAGGCTGAAAAATAGATCTCAGTGCCATTGTGCTAGGTTTTGTACAAACATAGATAGAGGTTATCCTTGTCCTGCATGGGCTTATAGTTTATGAAATCATAGCAACATCCTGCTGTCAAAGCTAATTGTTTAGTATACATTTTCTTTTAGCAGGAAAGCAAATCTGGTACCACCCAGTTTAACACTGCAACAAAATTTCAATTTTATTTCTAGGTGAAAGCCTGTGCTGTCATATGGGTGTAAGTGTAAAAAAGCCCCAAATTCTGACAACTAAAAAACTGGACAGTAACAGATCACAGTGATTACTGAACATAGTGATATTCTAAACAAAGAGTTCTCAACCATGCTAGTACTGTTTTTCCATTGCTTCACACTGACTCAGCAGAAATTCTAGGTTTCAGACTGACACACGAAGAGTGTAACAATCCTGGAATCTTATTATATAGACTACCTGTACTGCAGTAGCACATAAGAGGCCCAGTCATCAATCAGGCTCCACTGTCCTGGGTGCTGTACCACTGAACGAAAAGTAGTTAAACGTAGGGAATAATCTTTAAAAGGGACATGGAAGAAACTATGGCTTAGATTTTGTTGCATCCAATTTCCACAGGACGTAGTAGTGAGGCACAAGCTTCAAAAGGATCAAGTTGTGGTTCCCTGATTCACAGATCAACTCTATGCTTTCTCTACATTGTTTAGAGTAGCATATAAGCTGCTTTAAATTATGGCAGTTGGCAATAGCCCCAAATGGATTGTGACATTGCTGTGCTTAGCAGTGCATGCTGGTCTCAATCTGTGAGCCAGTATAGGGTCAGACCCTTGGCCTTGCCCTCTCCTGCTGCCTCTGGGGTTGCCTGGGCCTCCATGAGTGCAGAGATCCAACCACTGTCTCTAGTTAGTGAATCAATACAATACACATGGCTCAAAAATGTATAATTCTACATTCAGCTGCTCATGAAAGAATACGTTGCATTAAAAATAATTCTATTCAGACCAGAGTTCTCAGACTTCTTAAATTAATCTGAAAACCCATTTTGTTCAGTCACCTTAGAACATTAAGGGAATTGTTAATCTTTTAAAAGTCCTTAAAGACAGGTATTTTGGGGACCTGATTTTAGTTTCTTGACAAAAAAATCAGCTCTAATTTCAAACAGATTCACTTATTTCCAAAAGAATTTTTTCTGATTTAGATTAAAGGTTTTGCAGAACTAGCTCATTTTCAAAAGCACTTATTTACTATTCAATTATACTGTCTAATGCTATGATAGCTCTTAATAGTATTAAAAAATTGTTTTTTCAACCCTTGTTGCAGACATACAATGCAGAAGACAAAAAACACAACTGTTAAGAAATTCAGTGCAATTAATACTCTATATTGAATGTGCCAGTTATTTAAGCACAAAGCTTTTCTGTACCCTTCTATGGGTGACCTTAAGTGTAATCATAGTTCTATTGTCAGTATGAGCATGGCCTAATTTTTTAGACAGTTCTCAAAACATGATCTCTATTAAAACTATCTGACACTTTCTCTCTTATTTTAGAAACTTTATTTTATTGTTGGAGGATGACAAATTCTGAATGTTCCATAGCGGTGCGAAATTTCTCAAGGGGGCTATGAAGATGGTGCAGTGTGTTTGCATAAACCAATTCAAATCCTTCAAATGCAACAAAAAATATAAATGAAAATGTTTTAATTTTCAATATGAAAAATAACATTGTATTTTACACCTTTGAATTTCTATATTTTCAAATTTTGAAATAGTGTGATTTTTACATAACTGAATCCGGTTAATTTAATATTTTGAATACTTAGGGTTACGCTATTTAAAAAATAAAAAAGAGGACACTCCACAGGCCCTGGCCCCGCCCCCGCCCCTTTCCCACCCCCGGCCCTGCCCCAACTCCGCCCCTTCCCCACCCCAATTCCACCCCTTCCCCACCCCTTTCCCAAAGTCCCCGCCCTAACTCCCCCCTCCCTCCCTCCCAGCCATGCGAAAAGGGCTGCCTGAGCGCTACTGGCTTCACAGTTTGCCGGGCAGCCTCCAGACCCTGCGCCCCCGGCCGGCGCTTCCCCAGCACAGCTGAAGCCCGGGAAGGGAAGCACCCAGCCGGGGGCACAGGGTCTGGAGGCTGCCCAGCAAACCGTGAAGCCGGTGTCACCTGATT